AAGAACGGGTGACGTGGTGGGGAATGTACTGTGTGTGTATCATTGTGTGACTCCGTGCCGGGGCGTGTCGGGAACTGTATTGTAATTCGAAAGATGTGTCAATAAAATACTTGGCAATTTCTGCTCCTGTTCTCCAGCTCTTCCTTACGCCGCGCGCGCGTGGCCCGTCCCGCATCGTGGCCGTGTGGACCCCTCAGGACACTGGGCGGGCAGTAGGGGTGTCCCGGGCCCCCACGGGCGCCCCCTCTGCTCCAGGCGTCAGCTGGGAAACGGGGTCTCGCTGGCGGGCCCGCGGGAAGGCCTGCCCTCCCCCGCCCTCGGCTCTGCCGAGGCCCCCACGCATCAGCAGGAACTGACCACGCGTTTTGCTCCGTTGCAAGTTTGGGGGCGGAGAGGTATTTCCTGTTTACATTTTTCAAAAAATTTTTTAACATTTATTTATTTTTGAGAGAGACAGAGACAGAGCACAAGCAGAGGGGAGGGGCAGAGAGAGAGGGAGACCGAATCGGAAGCAGCCCCGGGCTCTCAGCTGCCAGCACAGAGCCCACCCAGCGTGGGGCTCAAACCCATGAACTTTGTGAGACCATGACCTGAGCCACCCCCCTCTTTTTACAATTTTTAAGGCATTACGAGTAAGTTTTACTTCTTTTCAACTTCTGCACTCTGATGTCAGCCGTCAGCACCGGAGGTGGAGGCTACCCGGGTGCCTGGCCGGCTGGGGGGGCTGCCTTCCTCCCCTGCCGCCGCCGCCCCGGGCTCTGGGCTGACCCGGGGGCCTCCTCTGTGCTCGGGGAACCTGGCCTGAGCCCCCACATCCTTGCAGGAAGCAGAGGTGAGACTCTAGCGCTCCACCCCCCGCCCCGGGCTGCCGTCCAGGGGACCCCTGCCTCCCGCTGGCTGAGCCTGCTCGCTGCCCTCTGCCCACCGTTGCCTCCGTCATTTCCACAGCACGGCCTTCTTTCAAATAGTTTTGTACATGTTTTATTTTAGAGAGAGTGCATGATTGGGGAGGGGGGCGGTGGGGGGGGGAGAGAGAGACAGAGACCTCGATCTCCCAACCCTGCCATCCTGACGTGAGCTGAAATCAAGAGTCAGATGCTCAACCAACCGAACCCCGTGGCGCCCCTACAACAGGGTCCTTCGGAGATGGGGACCCCCCTCCCCTACCCCTTCAGAGCAGCCCAGCCCCAGGCCTCCCGCTGACATTGTCACGGGCAAGGAACAACCCCAGTGGGTGGTCTGTGCGTCTCAGAGCTGCACACTTAGGACCCCAGCCGTCCGTGGCTCGAGGCCGGCGACCCCTCTCCCCGTGCAGGGCCTCCCCCACGGGCCTCCCCCTCCAGCGCCACCTGGCCCCTCTCACCCCAGGCGGGTCTTCCGGTGCCCCTGGTGACCCTGCCTGCCCTCCCTTTCCCTTTCTCCTGGTGCTCACTGGAAAACTCTGACTCCCTCTGATCCTGGGCTCCCATCCCAGGCGGGAGGCCGGAGTCTGCAACACAGGCAACTGTGCGGCCTGGCCGGCTGTGAGCTCCTGATGGCCCCGAGGGCTGCCGGGAAGTCAGCTCCCGTCACTCTCCTGGGGGTGTTTCCTGCCTGCAGCCCACACTGCCCACGGCCACTCCCCAGCTCTTGCTCACACGGCCCCGTGGCCTCCCTCCTCGTTACTCAGGACGGCTCAGGGGCGGGCGGCCCCCCTGTACCGCACCCCCTTCCCCCGTGGAGTCTCTGCTCACTGCAGGTTTCCTTCCGAGTTGGCCCTTACCGCGTGCAAACCGGCGCGTGGTCAGGGCCGCCTTCAGCTGCCCACAGTCCTGTCCCTTTGTGCAGCTCCCTGAAAAAGTGGCCTTTCTTCCTGGTGTTGCTGTCTCCATGTTCTCTCTCAAATCTCTCCCGAGGGGCGCCTGGGGGCTCAGTCGATTGAGCCTCAACTTCAGCTCAGGTCATGAGCTCACAGTTCGTGGGTTCGAGCCCCGCGTCGGGCTCTGTGCTGACAGCTCAGAGCCTGGAGCTGCTTCCGATCCTGTCTCCCTCTCTCCCTGCCACGCCCCTGCTTGCGCTCTCTCTCTCTCAAAAATTAACTTTTAAAAAAATTAAATCTTGAGACCACACGAACCTGGCTTTTGAACCCAACATTTCCCCGAAATGTCTTTGGCTGGGAGTGTCACCAGGCTGCGTGTTGCCAGACTGGAAGGTGGTCGGGCACCACGCCCTGTGTCCACTCAGGTAGGGGCGTCCCACCCTGTTCGCGCTCCCGACGGGCCCCCAGGCAGTCACGGGCCCTGAAGGTCGGCAGCAGGCCCGCGACTCCCCCGCTTTGGTCCTGCCCTGGGCCGCCCCCCGAGCAGGGCTTAGACGTGTAGCAGGCGGTTCACCCTCACTGCCGAGCTCCGGGCCCTTCCCTCGGTCGCCCTGTCCCTGTCAAGGACGCCCGGCCCCAGGCTTCGGGGTCAGAGCGCCTCCTCTCCTGACAGGCACACCCCATTACTGGGCCATCTGGGTCTTCCCGGGGTGTCTAGAATCTCGGCCCTTCTCCGGGCTCCACCGCGACCACCCCGCCAGCAAGCCCTCTCCCGGGGGGGCTGAGCGGGCCTCCAAGCACTTCCCTGCCCTCCTAACATCTGGTGCCAAACGTCAGCCAGAAGGACCCTGTAAACTGAGTCACTGCGCTCGGGGCCTCCAGGGGCCTCTCATCACCTTCTCATCACCACCCCCAGCCCCCCTGACCCCTCCCCAGCCCTGGTGCCCACCTTCCTCCTCCCTGCACCCCCCCCCGACCCCCTGGCCCCGGCGCCCACCACCCTCCCCCCGGCCCCCTGCCTCCCCCCCGGCCACGGCACCCACGACCCCCCCGGCCCCCGACTCGGGCTCGCAGGCCTCTCTGTGCTGCCCCCTCCCCGCCTGCCCCCGCTCCCCCCGGAGGAACCACCTGCCTGGCCGCCTCCCCCTGGGCTCTTCCTGGCTGCTCGCCTCTCAGAACGTCCGGCAGCTGGGGCTGCACATGTGGGACCCCCTCACTTTTCGAGTCTGGATTCTGTTGTTCCGCAAGGAGCCGATCTCCTGGAGGGTCAGCTTGGCCTTGGGACCCTTGATGTTCATCCCGGTTTGGGCAGCTCTTGGGAAGACCTTGCTCTGGTGTCCTGACCGCCGGGTGTCCTGCAACATCGCCCCGCGGCTGGCACGTCCCCTAACGTCCCCGCCAGGCCCCATGGCCCCAGGCCCCAGACATAGGCGTCTGCGTGGAAAGCCAAGATTTCCGGGGACCCCGTGTGGCCTCGGCAGTCCCCACAGCCACGGAAGCCTGCCGCCCTCCACTCGGGCTCCACCCTGGAGCACTGAGCTCCGGAAAGTTCCTCCAGGCACACAGCCCGGGCCACCCTGGAGCTGGCGGTGTGCGTTGGCTCAGTGCCTGGGCGGCGGGAGTGGAGGTCCCATCCTGTTCTGCAGCCTCTGCGGGGTCACGGCCACCAGCCACACGGGAATTTACCTATTTTGCGGCTGGTGTGTCCACGCCGTAAGCAAGCTGGGGGCGGGAAGGGACTTAACCGCTTCCGTTGGTGTTTCCCGCCGTGTCCCGGGCCCGGAGCTTGCGTGGCGCCCCCACTCCGGCCGCCGCGCACAGACCCAGGGCAGCCCGAACCCCCTGCGCTGCAGCGAGAGCCGTTTCCGCCTTCCCCTGACCCCCTCGGACGCGGCACGCCTGACGGCAGGGGACAGAGCCGGGCTGTGTCCCCACCACGGACACCCGGTCTGCCCGGGAAGACAAGCAGATCGAGGGTCCAGAGGCCGACGTGGCCCAAAGCCGCCACCCCATGCGCTCGTCTGCACTTTCTGGTGGCTCGGCCGTCAGCCCGGGCTTGGCCCAGGCTGTGGGTAACAAGATACGTCGCTCTGTGTTCTGAGAGAGAGAGGGCGTGTGAGCACAGGCACGAGGGGGAAAGGAGCAGAGAGAGAGGGAGAGAGGATCCCAAGCAGGCTCCGCACTGTCAGCACGGAGCCCAGTGTGGGGCTTGAACCGCGAACCGTGAGACCCGAGCCGGATCAAGAGTCAGCCGCTTAACCCCCTGAGCCACCCAGGCACCCCCAGATATATTTTTAACATCTGTATATAAATAAATGTTCACATCGACTTTATACAATATGGCTTTATAGGGGCGCCTGGGGGGCTTAGTCGGATAAGCGTCCGACTTTCGCTCAGGTCATGGTCTCGCGGTTCGTGGGTTCGAGCCCCGCGTCGGGCTCAGTGCTGACTGCCAGCTCAGAGCCTGGAGCCTGTTTCAGTCTGTGACTCCCTCTCTCTCTGACCCTCCCCTGCTCACGCTGTCTCTCTCTCTCCTAGAAATAAATAAAACATTAAAAAAAAAAAGATTAAAAAAAAAAAACATATAGCTTTATAGTGCCTGTTCCTCCTTCCGTCCTTCCTCCCTTTTTCTTTTTTCTTTTCTCTTCTCTTATTTCCTCTTCTTTCCTCTTCTTTTCTTTTCTTTTCTCTTCTTTTCTTTTCTTTTCTTTTCTTTTCTTTTCTTTCTTTTCTTTTCTTTTCTTTTCTCTCTCTCACTCTCTCTTTCTTTCCCTCCTTCCCTCCCTTCCTTCCTTGTTAATTTTTCTTCTTTAGAGAGAGAGAGAGAGAGAATCCCAAGCCAGCTCTGTGCTCGGTGCAGACTCTGCCATGGGGCTCGACCCCACAGCCCTGAGATCATGACCTGAGCCAAACCCAAGAGTCCGTCACTCAACCGACTGAGCCACCCAGGTGCCCCTGCTTGTTCTTTATAAAACAAACATAAAATTCTCTAGGAAAGACGTTTGGGCCGATGGACAGCGTCTACAATGTACTGCATTACACGGACTCTAAGAGGCTGGACCTCTCCGAGACGGGTGCACCGGACAGTCAGCGCCAGCCCTCAGGCACTTGCGACATATCTGTACGCCTCCTGGGCGGCTCCCGACGACTAGCAGCGAGGGGCCACGTGAGGACCGTCGGGGGAAGGGCCGCACCGTCCAAGCCCGGCTGGCGGCGCCCTCTGCTTCAGTCAGGGCCTTTGGCTAAAAGATGCACGAGCTGCCATTTACTGGACCCGCGTGAGTGTGGGTGCCAGGCCGCGTGACGTAAGGCGCCTTCCTCAGACGTGGTGTCGAGTGTGGAACGTCCTGTGCGTCACGAACGGTTTGCACGCAGAGGGTCGGAGTGCTAAGAGGCGGCTGCAGTCCGTGTCGGGGCTCCAGGTCTGTCTGACCCCAAAGGCTGCTCCACAGAGAGAGCGGAAATCACCTGCAGTCGCACCACCGGGGAGCACTTTCTCGACGGTCGCTCGGATAGGGTTTCACGCGTGTGTCAGGTCGAAGCATGGGGAACTTCCATTCCGTGCGCGAGAATCGGGAGCGTGGCCGGAGCTTCGTGCCTGGCCCCGGTGGCCCAGGGTTTCCGCGGGACCACGGCAGCTGGGCTGGGTTGTAGCCGCTTCTGTCACTCTGTAGGACGCGCTGCTCCGTGCTAACGAGTGCCAGTCGAGGCTCCTGCTCTCCGTTGCTGCAGAGGATTCCATCGGCTTCAACTAACCGGGTAATTCACCAACCCGTGTTGGTGGACATAGAGGTTACATCCAGTTAGACGTAAGTCATGCTGCCGTGAACACTCTTGGCTAATCTCAGAGGGTCTCCTGACGGTAGGGTGGCTGAGTCGAGGATTCACACGCTTCCTGTGTTGATACATTTTGTCTACGAGTCTCCGAAATGGTCACCGGCTGTTCCCAACCACACTCACACCCGACGCTGAACGCCCCCCTCTTGCCGCCCCGTCTGTTAGAGGCAGAGTGTTCCTGGGGGCTTGCAGACAGTGGTGCAGGACTGAGCTGTGGAGAAGAGCCAGAGCCTTCTAGAACGATGGTTCTAGAAACATCATAGGTGTGAGCCTCCGTCGATGGGCTCCCTGGGGTGCCCCGCTGCCTGCCTCACGGCTGCGAGTGAACCGGGTGGTACTGAGCGTCAGCCTGACTGACTGGGAGGCTGATGGGATGGAAGCGTGTTGTCCCAGGTCTGTGCCCCCAGCGTGCCTGTGACGCTCCCGGTGTTGAGGTCAGGGCCACCCAGGCGAGAGGTGAGAGCCTTTCCTAATCAGGGACACATACCCAGCGCGGTTGTCTGAGACCAGCGTTTGGAGCCCTGGAGTCTTGAGAACAAGCCTCTAGATCATTCTAGGCTATGCTCTCATTCTGCGGATGGGAAAGTAAAGTTTGGAAGTGGGGGGACACTGGAGGCCCACCCTTTCCCTCCCCACCCTGCATTCCCTGCCGATCCAGGGGAGGACGGGCCAAGGACTCGGCTCACCGCCCACCCGTGGTCAGAGCCATGCCTCCCTGCTTCTGGAAGCTTCTGGAACATTCCCCCTGCTGTTCCCTGTGGCTGCCCCGTGGCTGCCCCGTGTGACACGCAGGCTCTCTTCCATCTCCTGAGCCTCTTGTGAGCAAGGCCACACTTGGCTTGTTGGGAGCAGGTGACACCCAGCCTGCAGTGATGACACAGTGGAGGTGTGGGTGTCGACTCCCCTCCGTGTCCCGAAGCACCCCCCGCCCCCCAGCTGTGCTTGGCCCGGCCACAGGCTGCCACGCGAGCCACGCCAAGCTGAGTGTGTTGGCTTGTGAGGTTACTGTCGTGAAGAGTCTTGGGAAGAAACAAAAGCAATTCGTAGTGAATCTCGTGTTTTGAACCCCCCCTTCTCATTTGAAAATGTGAAATAATATACAGTCGGTGGGGACGCCCAGAAACCTGCTCTCCGGTGAGCGCGGTCTGGGGTGCTGGGTGCATCTGTCTTCCGGCCGTTTCCGGGGGTCTCCTCACTTCGGGGGTGATGCTCTGTGCCACCCTTCCCCCGCCCAGCTTCCTGGGGCCGCGGGTCCTTGCAGCAGCCTCGGTCTCCCCGGAGACGCAGCGCCCATCTCCATGACAACGCATCCCGCCTTCCCCGCGCCCCCGGGCGTCCCCGCTCCCAGCAGATGGCGCTCTCCTACCGGGAAGGCCCGACGGTGGCCGTCAGTCGTCTGGGTCAGTCCGTCCTTGGAACGCAAGACCCGGCCTCCCGGCGCCCCTCCCGCATGAGCCGCAGGCACAGGGCGGCCCGAGGGACTCGCCCCACGCGGGGACCCTGAGCCCCGAGAGCCCCGTGGCCGGTGCGGCCTGGTGTGCGCGGCCCCGTCTCCCAGTGCGCCGCCGCGGGGGGGCCCCATTCCTGGGAAGAGCACTTTTCCACCAATGAGGATTTTTTGGGAATGACTTCGGGGGGGCCTCGTTTGTTCTCATCCTACACTCCACACGGGGCTTCTCTGAATGAGTCCCGATCATTTAGAACATTCTAGAAGCAGTAGTACGTGCACAGGCACACAAATCTCTAGGATTTCCACTCGGGCAGCATCTTGGCAGCTGTTCCAGGGCTTACTGGTGACCGAGTGCCGCTAACATGCATTTAGAGAGGAAATGGAACAAAAAGTTTCTTAAACGTTTTCAAGTTAAAACATTTTATTTTTGTTTACAAAGTGCCAAACTGTCATTGAGGCAAATGTGGGAAATATAGTTAATAAAAGGGAGAAAATGAGGTCACTTGTATCTCTGGCACCAGAGACAGTCACTGGTAAGATTCTGGTGTGCATCCTGCCAAACTTTTCTCGAATACACATGCGTGTGCATGCACACACCCCACACCCACGTGTGCACACACCTCATCCCACCCCCACCCACCCCACGCACACCCACACCCCTACACCCCACCCACAGCCATGTGTGCACACACACCACCCTACCCCATGTACACTCATGTGTGCACAACCCCACCCCACACACACCCACATGTGCACACCCCCACCCCATGCACACCCACATGTGCACATCCCACCCCATGCACACCCACATGTGCACACCCCCCACCCCACGCATACCCACATGGGCACACCCCCCACCCCCTGCACACCCACATGTGCACACACACCCCATCCCACCCCCACCCTACCCCACACACACCCATGTGCGCTCACATACACACAAATGGCTTCAAAGTGTATATAATATTTTGGAACCCACTGGTTTTCACCATATAATATGTTGTCAATATTTTCTCGTGACATTGACTATTTTTTAGCATCATCTTGCACAATCGTCATGGCCATCCATTTGGTTGTAGACACGCTCGAATTTATTTAACCAGTTTCTTAGTGCCGGGCACTGAAGCAGCTGCCCAGATTTGCAATCACAGACGCCACTGCAGGAAGGGCTGGAGCCACAGCACACGGAAATCCGTGGCCATTTTTCTCGCATAAATTATAATACAGTAGACTTTCTGAACCGACGGACACATAAATTCCAGGCCTTTGATGACTTATTACCAAGTGGAGCCCGCGCTACGTCAGTCCCACCGCGGTCCTGCCCCATGCAGGAAAATGACCCCTTCTCCCCAAGCCCCCGCGCTGGCTGGGTAGATGAAGCAACAGGGACGGTGAGCTCCAAAGCCAAATGTTCGAATCCCGGCTCCGCCCCTTAGCTGGGCAACCTGGGAAAAGCCACTTGCTTTCTTAAGGTTTCCTTTTATCACCCGTAAAGTGCGGAGGCGAATGCCATGCGCAGAGTTGCTAGCGCTTACTGGTGACGAAGACGGGAGGGAAAAACCCCTTTAACTGTTCCCCGTGTCATAATGTGGGATTTTTCCATTTCGTGCTAGGAGGCTTGAAGAGTGTGAGTTCTTTAGGACCTTCCCTGGCACCTGGAACAGCCTCGTAAGTTCCTAATAGATACTTGTTGACCAAAAGAAAAAACCCAAAGTAGAAACCCAGAATTCGGTCTCTGTCCGTGTCCCACTCCCCCGCCAGTCACACCGGGGCAGGAAGGGAACCCCTTGCCTGCGATTCTCAGCTGTGTTTGCACCTGCGGGAGTTGTGGGGGACCCCTCCCGCCCCCGCCCCTCCTGGGCCCGAGCCCCACATTGCCCGTCCCCTGCGGCCCCCTCCCCATTCCATCCCTCCCAAAACCTATTCGCAGACACAATTTGATATTTAGGAAGTGACTTCGATGTCAGGTTTTCCAGGGGTGTGGTATTTATAGCCGAAGCCCCTCCTTACAGGAGGAAGGCGGCTCTATCCCCTGCTCACTGAGTCGGGTGCCCTTGACATCCCGCATGGCCAGGAACCCTTCTAGCTCAGGGTCAGGCTGCGGGTGAGGAAGACCCCTTGTCCCACGGGCTGTCCCTTCCACCCACTGCCTCTTCCACGCTCACACATGCGCAAAGCACACACACACACAGCTCACTTGCACATGCTGGCACACTCTATCCACATGCCCCATGCATCACACACACTCACACTCACCTCATATGCTTGCTCACACACACACAACACGTACACTTCCACAGGTGCACACAGCCACACCTGAAAGCACTATCCAGGGGTGGTGTGCCCACACCCGGATGCCCCACACCTTCCGTGGAAGGGAAGGGAAGGGAAGTGGCGGAGCGGGCTTCTCCTGAATTTGCCCCGGGCCCTGTGGGAGGAAAGCAGAAGTCACAGGTGGTGGGGGGGGGGGTTGTGAGAAGAGGAGCCCCCCCAGCCCCTAGGAGCCCCGGCCTGTGTGCGAGCTGGCCCTCCGGCCACGGGGACAGGTGAGCTGCCTGGGGCTGCCCCGTTAGGGCGTCACCTGGAGAAAGCCACCCCTTGGCTGCTCGAGACGTCAGAGCGTGCGTCCCTCTGCTTGGGACACTCAGAGGCAGACAGAAGTATTTTTAAACCAATTTCCCTGACCTAAAAAGGTTCTTTTTTGACTGAACACCTAGTCTTCAGGACCCACAAGGGAGCCCTGCCTATAAATAGCCCAGCCCTCCAGCTGGGCTGGCCGCCGGGCCACCGGCGGGCGCTGGGGACAGCTCAGGCCTCTGCGGGCGTCCGGGGGCCCACGAGGCGGGGGTCCTGCGTGGGGCACGGCACGGGCAGAACCGGGGGCAGACGAGCCGCGGCTGGGGCCGGGCCCGCGGGCGGGGGGGCGGCTGCCGGAGCGGGAGGGGCCCTGCACCGCCAACCGCAGCGCCGGGATCCAGCGGCAGGATCTCAGCCCCGCGAGTCTAAAACTAAGTTTATTCTTTTGAGCAGCGAAAGTGCGCTCCGGCGTCCCGCTGGGAAGGTCTAGAAGGCGTAAGGGGTCCGCACGTCTCCAGAGTCCCTCGGACCCCAGCCAACCTGCGCTGCGGCGCCAACGCACCCGGAGCGGCCGGGACCCCGGCGTGAGGCGCCCCGTGTCTGCCGCACGTTCATGCTTCCGCAGCGGTGGCCGCTGCCTGACGCTGTGCGACGCTTTCCCGCTGAGGCGAGTTCTCCGGGAGGCCCTCTTAACCCGCCTTTGGGTCCCCCCGGGCCTTCCTCCTGGCCCCTCCAGCCTCAGCCCTCGGGGGGGGGGAAGGGAAACCCCAGCGAAGGGGGGAGGGTCTGCAGGCAGTGTGCACCTCCCCTGGGGGCCCTCACCTGCGGCGACACGCACATGGGGTGCAGCCGCCCCACCAGGACCCAGACCCTGCCTGCTCCCCCCTCTCCCTCGGACGCAGAGCAGCGACCTGGGAGCGGCCCGTGGGCATGTCCTGAAGTCAGTCACCTGTCAGAGACTACGCTTCAGGGGCACACGCGTGTGCAGGCTGAGGCTGAGCTTCTGACGGCGGGTGTGACCTGCGGGGCGCACAGGGCGCTGCCATTCGACGCGTGCTCCGGTCTCTGGGTTATTTTGTGCTTCCCAAATCCTCTTCCTTAAAAAAGAGGAAGAATCGAGAAGGACGCATTTCCTGATACCGAGCCCCAGGGATGCGCTAAGATTTCTGGTGGCCTCAGATCCGCGTCTAAGTGACCGCCGGGCTCTAATCGGGGGCACCGGGAAGAACGCGCTCTCTGGCGGAGAGGCGACTGCGAGGGAGGGTGTGGACTGGGGCTCGTCCCTCTGTCCCCAGTCTGGTCCGTACAAGCCCCGGGTTCTCGGGGGAGGGACTTCCCTCAGCGTCACCTGCCCCAAGCGGAGCCGGGCGGGCCCCCTGTGCCGCGGAGGCTGCCTTCTCCTCCGGGCTGCGGACGTGCCGGCCCCTGGGGGACCACGCGGCCGTGTCTGATGGCATCCACCCCACCCCCACCGAGGTTGGCCTCGGGGACCTGATCCCAGAGTCCGAGCGCCCCGTCTCCCGAGCTTCCAGCCCGCGGGCTGCCTCTCCCTCTGCGTGTACGTGGACTTGGTCAGTGTCACCCAGGCCTGACGGTGGGCCGCCCCGGCCGGCCTTCAAACAGGAGTGTATCTGGGCCTCACAGGGCCTGGAGTCACCGCCTCCCTCCCTGCGAGGGAGCAGAGGCCCCGCAGGGTCAGCCCCCCGAAATCTAAGGGCTGGTCAGTGGTGGACCCCGAGGGGCCCCAGTCCTGGGGTCTCTCTTGGTGAGGGTGGGGCACACGGAGGGCAGGCGTGTGGCTACAATACTCCAGGCCCGACCACCGTCCACGTGTGTGGCCCTGTCCTTCCTCTAAACCTCCCCTGGGGTCGCCCACTCACCCCACGGCTCGGGCACCGTGTCCAGGGCAGAGGGGAGGGCCCTGGAGACCAGCTCCATCCAGGCGCCAGGCCTCTGGGAGGAGGGTCTGCCCAGCCCCCCGCTCCATAAATGGCTGCGGTCACACCCCCCTGCACGGCCTGGTGCGGCCGAGCGGGGAGCGCGGTGCCCCCAGCGTCACGGGGAGACGGAACACGCCCTTTCCCAAGACAGTCCCCTGTGCGTCCTTTGTGACCGCTGCCCTCAGAATACAGCGGTCCTCAGAGCGGCCACCCGACCCAGGCCCGGTCCGCGGGGTGGGGGACGCTGAGCTCTAACTTGGGTCGCTGAAGGTGGGGGGCACAGCACGCCCGCACCGCCCCCTCAAACGCGGCGGGTCTGCGGCCCAGGCGGCCGGGGCAGGTGCGCGCCCGCCATCCCCGCCGCGGCCGGCAGAGGGCGCTGCGACTCCACTCAGGGATGCCGAGGCGGCAGGTGCGGACGCGGTGCGGTCCCGGACCCAGGCGGCAGCGACCCCCTGACCCCGCACGCTGCCTCCAGCTCAGCGGAGGGCCCCCTGCGGAGCGCCGGGCAGCGGCGTGGAGGCGGCTGCGGGGCCTGGCAGTGACGGGGCGGGCGTGGAGCCGGCCGCAGCGGCCCGGGAGATGGGGGGCTGGGGGCTGGGGGGCTGGGGGCTGGGCCGGGCTCGCCTAGACCCCAGAGCCTCGGCGACAGCGGCCACCATAAGCGGCAAGGTGAGCGGGCAGGTGCAGGGATGCCTCGGCCCTCCCGCCTCGATGCCGACACTCGCTGCCCTTTCCAAGCATCGCAGGTCAGAGTCCCACATCCCTCCCACCCACCCGCTCCTCTGCCAGGGCCAAGCTCGCCGCCCTGTGTGGCCCGCCTGGTGGGCGCTCCGCGCTGAGCTGGGAGGTGGGTGAGGTCTGCTGAAGGCAGCTGCTGAGTCCTCATGACACGCGCCAGAGAGGCGGACACAGGGACCCGGGAGCACAGGGCCCCTTTCAGAGACCCCGGGTTCGTTTCGCTGCCTTGAGGGCCAGCCGTCTGAAAGGGAAAGCCTGAGCTCTCCTGGGGCGGGAGGAAGGGGGCCCTGGCTGGGACGAGGGCTGGCGTCGGGGGGACAGGTGTCCATTTCCGCTGGTGCAGACGCCTAGGCCCTCGGCCGGGATGAACGGGATTGCACCCGGAAACCCAGCGTCCTGTCTTCGGGGGAAATGCCTTCCTCGGGTTCTGGGCAGAACGTCTGTTCTACCTTATCTCCAGTCTTCCGAGTTTTCAACCCCTTGTTTGAGCCAGTTCCCCCTTTCCGGAAACACAGCCACCCCCGTGGCGGACGCCACAGATATCCACGAAGAAGGCGATCTTCCGCACTGGCAGGTGCCAGGGCTTGTGTACAGAGCAAAATGCTAATTCCTGTTATCTTCTGCGTAATTGGAGAACAGCAAGCTCATCCAAAAAAAAAAAAAAAGGAAAGAGGATTATCTTCAAGCCCAGACTTACTACCTCCTCCCCGCGCGGCCGGGAGACAAACACTGTACATCTTCCTCTTCTCAGCCCTGGCCCCTTCCCTGCCTTACACGTACTTTCCGGCTTCGCTCACAGTGATGAGCGCCAGCGTCTGCCTGTTACACCACCGGGTCCGAGTGGTGTTGGTGGCTCTCCCTGGGTCCATCATCCGCCCTGCGGCTCTGAGACTGCGGGCCTCATCACTGGCATCTCAGCAGGAAACAGGCCTTGAAGGCGCACCCTGTCCTCTGTGCCCGGCAGCCTACCTGTTCCCCTCCCGGACCACAGGAGGCAGACTTCTTCTGTAAAGACCCAGCCGGTAACCGTCTCAGGCTCCGTGGCCCTGTGGTGTCTGACACAGTCTGTCTGCCCCGGGGCCCCCACAGACAGCGTGCGAAGAAATTAGCGGGGGCAGCTCTGGGACACCTTGACGGATGGACACTGAAATCCGAACTTCACTTAATTTTACCTGTCGTGAATATTCTTCTTTAGGTTTTTTGTTTTCCACGATTAAAAAAATATAGGGGAAGACCCATCTCAGCTCACAGGTCAAGGGCCGGGTTTGTCTCGGGGCGGCAATTCACCAGCCGACCCGGCGGAACACAGCGTCCGGCAGAGTGCGCGTGGGAGTGTTCTGTGATTGCCTCCTAGGAGGCCGGCGGAGGCCGCTTCCGGGGCCTCTCAACCCCTTCGAGGAAACTGTGCTTTTGGAAGGTTGGGGTGTCACTGCCTTGCCACATCTCGCGACCAACTGGCATTCTTTGCACGCCTGGCCACGGTTTGTCCTGTGGGCGCGATGCTGACGGCGGAGGGCCTCCCGCGGGACAGGCTGGTGCCACCTTCTGCCCCAGCCCCGGGGGCCCCCCCAAACGTACGGGTCACGGGCTCACCACGCGAGGGAAGTTCCCACGGCCCGCCGCCCGCCCGCCCGCCCGCCGAGGGCTCTGCGGTCTGCGCTCCACGAGACCTCTGGGGTCACGTCTTCAGCACGAGCCGTGGGCAGAGGAGGAGAGGCGCAGGAGACCGTGTGGAGAGGGGTCCTGCCACAGAACAGACATGGCGGAAGGTCTCTGTAACGTCTTTAATTATTCAAACAACAGAGCACAAAGATAACAGTTTCAAGTACATTGTGATGCACGCTTTTGACAGGAATAGATACGCGGTTAGGCAGGAGCGAGGCTGGTGGCCACAGCCCGCGCACGTGTCGCACAAACTTCCCGCACCGCCAGCTCCGAACGGAGCGGATGCCCCGCGTGGACAGTCCCCACGACGCGGCTCCCTTTTCTAGGCCATGAGAGAGACTGTTGTCAACTTAAAGGTGGGGAAGGGGCTTAAGACATGGCATGGGGAGGGGGAGCAGCGGGAGGGCACCCCCGTGCCTGGCCGCTGCTCAGGGCCGCGGCGTCCTGGGGCTGGCGGTCACCCACGGGGGCCTGGGGGCCTGGCCGGCGCTCAGCCCCTCGGGTCGGCCGCTCGGGCCGCCCCGCTAATCGGTCAGTCAATCAAGGACGCTGGCGTGTCGGGCCTCCCTCTGCTGGTTATAGTTGCACCGGAACAGTCAACTCGACAGAAACCACATTCCACCAGGGACGTAAGCCTTGCACCTGCTAACTACCTAGAGGACCAAGGAAAAGTCTTTTATGGAGAAAAACCAAGGACGCGCCTGCCCGGAGGGCCTGGCCCCTGGGAAGCCTGCGGCTGGCAAGCCCTGGCTGCACACCGGCCCCCGGCCCCGGCCACCCAGGCCCCCCGCCTCCTGGGAAAGGCACACCCGGCCAGCCCCTCAGGGACCCTGCGGGCACCACGCCGGCTGAGCTCTAGAAGCCGCAGTCTTCACACCCGGCCGGGGGGCCACCCAGGCCGGCCTGAAGCCATCAGGCTCAGATCGGCTCCCCAGACGCGGACAGGCCTCTAGACAGGCTCGCGTTGCTCAGAGGCCCCGTGCTCGCACAGCGCACGCTGCCTGGACACCTGGCCCGAAGCACGAACGGGACAGTAGCCTTCCATCAGCCGCAGCACTGAGGGCACAGCCAAGGGCACAGAGGACCTTTTCCCGCAGCCCAAGCTGACGCAGGACGCCCAACCACAGGGTGCCCGCTAGAGTAGGACACGCCCTCGGGACAAAGGTCTACACCCACAACCACTCCAGACAGCACCAGCGTGGCCTGAGGCCCTGACACGAGCAGCTGTGGCCGGGGAGGAGGAGAGGGTGCCCCCCCCCAAGCAGGTGGACAGGGGCTCTGCCACCAGGGGGCTGGGGGTTCAGAGAAGACCAACACTTGGCCCTCTCTCCGGGGACCCCTCTGGAAACGGTCCTCTGGTGCTTCAGAAAGCCGCTAGGCGCTCCCCCCCTCCAGGCCCGGGGACCAGGCCCTCCCTGCGGAGGGATGAGGTCTGCCCACGGCTACCCGGAGCTCGGGGAGAAGGTTCTGGGCCGTGTGCCCCGGGCTGGGCAGGCTTCGCAGTGAAGGGGTCGGGGGTGGGGGCGGGGCGGCACCCCCACGTGGCACCCCCAGCCTTCGGAGCCCACAAAGACGTGCACCCCATAAATACAAACAGAGCTGAGGTTTCTCCAGTGATGACAACAGACAGGTCAGTTTGGTTTCCTACTTTGGTTTCCTACTTAAGCTGATCTGAATTCACAGTATAAAGCAACACATCTAAAAATATAAGGCCGGGGTCTCCTGTCAGCACCAGGGTCCCGGACAGAGAAGCCAAAAAGGAAAGGAAAAAGGGGCTGTGACATGAATTCTCAGTGAGGATCTACTAGCCAGTCTGTGCGTGGTACATTTTATTTCTATAAAACTATTACAAAATATTCAAAAATACATTTTAGTAAATTTACAGCAGTTAATTCTCAAGTTATTAATGCAAAAACATCCTTTGTTTTTCTCTGTACAAACTACAGGCTCCATACTTGTGGGCTCATCACTATGTGCGCTTTTAAAAAATATCATTTTCTAATAAATTCTTTGAAGTTAAAAATAACAGAGTTCTTCCAGTTTGTCCAAAAAAAAAAAAAAGGTGTGTGTGTGTGTGTGTGTAACAGTCTCAACTTCCAAGAATGTGGCCAAAATGGTGATGAGAACCAAATATTAAGCCATGAAGACAGCCCGCAACGTGGCTGCTTCGCCGGAAACGAGTTAAATTAAAATAATATATTTTCATATTTTACACTATTTCAAAAATGAAATGTAATTCAGTTAAGTCTTGATCTCTCAAAAAATCTAATTTACAATTCTGTGTATAAAAATATAATTTGTGGACCCCCACGAAGCATGTTTTAGTTTACACTTGCCGAAAAGCAGGCGGAGCAGGGGAGGAAATGCGAGTGCAGAGGTTTGCTTTCTGAAAGTCAGGGCGAGGGGCATGTAGAAAAATAGACTCTGAGCAGGTCGCTTGGCCTCACAAAATAATCTTTCACCCCCGTGAGTACAATTCACATGACAATAATAAATTATCCAAGAAACAAACTATTTAAGGCTCTTGAAGGTCCGGTTCATATTATTTAAAACATCTATTCATACCAAACAAATAAATAGCCAGGAGAGGTGAAAAAAAAATAACCGAAATAAAACAACCAAAAAATTCAAAAAAATATATATAAACTAAACACAACGACAGAACGTCCCCGGGGTGTCTGTTTCCTTATAGTCTACTTTGGACTGTCCTACTTTATTATTATTATTATTATTATTAATTATTATTATAATTAAAGTCTCATTCCGTGCGCTTTTCCGTGTGTCTTTTGCTGTCCCTCGCTGTGGCTCCCTCCCACCCCCGGCCCCCACCCCTGCGCGCTCCCCGGCGCCCGGCCTTCAGCTGGACTTGACCGCAACGCCCAGCGGGTGCAGGGCCTCGCTGTCCAACAGCCAGGTGCCGATTTGGTAGAGCAGCTGCGAGTACCAGTGGATGCCCGCGGCACCCGGCGCGTCGGCCGCCCCCGGGGCGTCGGGCGCCCCCGGCGCGGGCGGGGACAGGGGGCCGCCGCCGCCGCCGCCGCCGCCGCCGCCGCCGCGGTCCGTGCGCGCGGGCGCCAGCGCGGCCAGGAGCGCGTGCGCCAGGCGGAAGGGCGCGAAGGCGCGGTGCGCCCAGCCGTGCTCCTCGATGACCGCGTAGCACGACGCCAGCACCCTGTTGATGAGGATGGTGCCCTGCGCCGTGAGCGGCGCGTACGCGCCCGTGGCCTCCTCGCGGAGCGTCACGCTGTGCACGGCGGCCGGGAGCAGCCGGCGGCCCCCGCCGCGCTCGGCCACCACGTACACGCGCTGGCCCGGGCGCACGCGGCTGGCGAAGAGCGCCCGGCGCCCCGGCGCGCCCCCCGCCCGCGCCTCGCGCCCCGCGGCCGCCGAGCCGTTGTGCGGCGGCGCCACGAAGAGCAGGTGCGCGGCGGTGAGCAGCAGGCGCTCGCGCGGCTCGCGCGTCTCGATCACGTAGAAGACCTTCCGGGCGCCGTCGTCGCGGTCCAGGAAGGCGAGGAAGTCGCTGTAGAGCAGCCGGCCCTGGTCGTCGGCCGCCAGCACGCGGTCCCCGGGGCGCAGGTCCTTCACCAGCTTGGTGCCGCCGTGCTCCAGGTGCACCGTGGCCGAGCCCGGGAAGCAGCCGCCGGATTTGGCCGCCACCGAGTTCTCTGCGGGGCAGGGAAGGGAGAGAAGAGGGACAGGGCGGTGAGCGCGCGGGGGGCGGGGCGGGACCCCCGCCGGCTGTCCCGCGCGCGCCAGGCCCGGGACGCGCGGCTCCGGGGACCGGCCAGCGCGGTCCGGGTGCAGACACATCCCTCGGCGGCTGTCCTGGGGTCGGACTGGCGGTGACAAAGGTTGGCTGGCGTCTCCGGCGGGAGGCCGGTTACACTCCTTCCCTTCCGCCTCCCTCCCCCCACCCCCTGGCTCAGCACACACCCGACCTCGCCCTGAATGCGCAGGGTATTTGTTCTCCACTTAGATTCCTCAGGAAGCCTCCTTGAGCGCCCTCGGGCGCCGGGGCGCACCTCCTTCTCCCCCCGCCCCCGGCGCGGGGTGCGGGGCCCCTCCAGCGCTCTGCACCCGCGCTGCGCCGCGGGTACCCCCGGCCTGCCCGCCCCCAGCGCCCAGCCAGGGGCATGGCTCCGGCCGCCTGCCTGCAGGGGTGTGTGTGTGCGGGGGAGGGGACCAGGGGGTGCAAAAGAGCTGTAGCAGTTGTAGCCACTGAACAAACATTCCAGGGAATTGGCCGAGGTGTGAAAACTCGGGGCTTGTGTGGATTTTCTAATTAAAATCCAATAAAGGGCCCAGCATTGTCACTGTGGTTCTCTGCAATAAATGGGAGACGCTCCTGGAAGAGGGGCCGCTTCCATTTCCCCCCTGCCCTCTCCCGGCCGCCCCTCCCTATTTGCTCAGGTGCACCCCCCCCGCCCCCCTGCGATTCACACGCGGGCTCTCCAGAAGCCGGGCCTCACAAGCACTATTTGCACAGCCAGGCCTCTTCCAAGCGCTCAAGATGTGTATTTGAATTTTAAATGGCGGGGCCTGCTCCGAGCTCTGGAAGCGGCCGGGTTCTCAAGGCCCCTTGACTACCCGCTTTCCCGAGCCCTCCGTCCCTCTCTGAGACTCAGTGTCCCGAGGACAATGCTCGGAGCCAGGGCGGCGCGCAGGGGGCCGCGGAGGAGGGCGGGGAGGGCCTGGGGTCCTTTGCATTCCAATCTCCGGGATCATGCTTTTTGCAAATAGAGATCGCGAGAAAGAATCTTCCTGCTGGAATTACACAGGGTTTTTAATCTTCTCATCGGTTTCTGCGGCATGAAGTGCGGGCCTGGCCGTTGGAGGCCCGCCGTCGCCCCCCGGAATGCGACCCGGGGCGCAGGCGAGCCCGAGTCGTCGAGTCGCACGACCCTGCTTGACACGCAGCGCCCCGCGCCCCGGCCCGTGTGCGCCGAATGCCAATGAGCGGCTCTCCGCGCCCCGGGGGTCCGCCCTCCCCGGGCGGGGTCCGGGGGGCAGGATTACCGCTGCTCACTTGCGAGGAGACCTCTAGGGACCCCCGCCAGGGGGACCCCGCGGACGGACCTGGCCTCCGCGAGCGCCGCTGCGGCCTTCCCAGGGGAGGGCGCGCCCGGGCGGGGGGGGGGTGTCTCCCGCCGGGGAGCCCCACGAAGTAGGGGCACCGCCTGCCCGTCCTCTCTCCGGCCTCAAGCCGGGCGCCGCCCCCCGCCCCCTCCACACCTTTTCCTTCTGTTGTGATAAGAAGCCACTATTTTCCTTAGCTACCAAGTGCGTCGTGACACTTTTGCAAGTGTTTTTTCTGCTAACACGTGCTAGGAGACAAACGGGCAAAACGCGGGGAGGGGGGCAGTGTGGGGAGGACGCAGCCCCTCGGAAACTCACCCTGAACTGTTCTGCTAAATGCACCAACTTGGGCTGAGAGGTGGAGAGTTCCGCACAAACAGCCTCCAGGCTGGGCTATTTCCCACCGCAACAGCGCCTTCCTGGCGTGGCTGTTCCTTGCCAGCGACAGCGAGTGGCGGTGTTGGCCCGGGAAAGTCGCCCTCACGCCTGGGCCCGCGCTACAGCTGCAGCCTCCGGCGTGTCCGGGCCCTGCCTGGACTCAGGGACACCCAGCTGCCTCCTAACAAGGAGATGCTTCCGGGCTGGCGGCCTCCAGATGTTGGAAGCGGTAACCCCGGGTTGATTACCTCCCACCAGGCCTCTCCCCAAAGGCTTAGCCAGTGAGTTGCCTTAGTTTAGTATCTGCAGCCGCTCGGCAGCTCGCACCCTGGACGGCCCCTCTGGTGCTGGGGCGGGGAGAGCTGGGGGGGGGGCCCGGATTCCTAAGGTTTAAATGAGAGGAAGAATCTAGGCCAGACCTGGCTAACGTGCGCCGCTGCTGTCTCACCAGGAGAGTCCCCTCCCCCCTCCCTGTCTCAGCCACCTGCGGGGGCGGGGGGGGGGGGCTCAGTAAGCCCTGTGTCCTCTGCATCCGGGCGTGGAGAACCCTGGGCCTCCGTGGCCTCCGAGGGAGGGGCGATCCCTGGCTGGGGGGACACACCTGTACGGGGTACGATCCCACAAGCGATCGCCACATGGCCTCCCTGCCCGGCCCTCAGGCCTCCTGCCCGTATTTCGGGTTCCCTGGAGTCAGGCTGCAGGGCGCAGCGGCGAGTCTCCTGGGCAGGTGTGGAGCTGGGGCCTGGGGGCAGCCTCACCTGCTTTCACGGAGCAGTGGATGTGCGCCTTGGACTCGTAGTAAACCCAGTCGAAGCCGGCCTCCACGGCCAGGCGCGCCAGCATGCCGTACTTGCTGCGGTCGCGGTCTGACGTGGTGATGTCCACCGCACGGCCCTCGTAGTGCAGCGACTCCTCCGAGTGGTGGCCGTCTTCGTCCCAGCCCTCGGTCACCCGAAGCTTCACTCCGGGCCACTGGTTCATCACCGAGATGGCCAAGGCGTTCAGCTTGTCCTTACAGCGCTGCCGAGAGAAGGGGCGCCCGGGGCGTGAGTGCCTAGGCTGCCCCGTCCCTGCCCCCGCAGGGCCTGCCCCCCTCGCGCCTGGGGACCAGGGGCCCGTGGAGAAGTGGGGGACCGGGTGGCAGTGGCACCGGGTGGGAGGCGGGGGGGGGGGGCAGGCCTCTTGCAGACGACCCGCGGGTCTCTCCGCAGGGTGACATAGCAGAGCACCTACTGGGGCCTGCGAAGAGGAAGTCTGTTTGAAACAAGTAAACTGCGCGTGTCAGATAATAACCTGCCGGACCTTCGAGGCCCCCAGGGCAGTGCCCCCCCCCCCAGCTCCTCTTCTGTGGCCGGTGGCCCCACACCTGTGCAAGGCTCCACCCTTCTCCCCGGCCTGAACCCCCCCCCCCCAGGAGGCTGGAGAGGGGCCCAGGGTGCAACTCTGAAACAGAACCTGAGCGGGGAGCCCCCCCTGAACAGCCCTGGGTCGCGTCTGGACCCTCCCTCCGGCCCTGTGCCTCTCTGAGGCGTGAATCCAGCCGGAGGGGGGACGGGGAGGGGCGGGGGGCTGATTGCAACCCGGACCGGGGGCAGGAGCCCGGCTGGAGGGCGAGCAGGTGAGTTGTGTCGCGCGGACGGCAAACAGGCTTTGTCGGGGCCGCCACATTCCTGCCCTCCGGACGGACGGCCCCTGCCTGCGCCTCTGCGGGCTGCCGGTGGCTCGCGTTCGCCTTACCCTGCTCCCTCCCCCCTTGTTTTCTTGGCCCCGGAGCAGAATGGCGTCCTGCAAGTTTGAAGAGCAAACTTAAGAGGTGGAGGGAGGAGGTGGGGCCTGAGGGGTGGGGGATGGGGCGTCAGACAGGCCCCAGGCCTGGAGCCCTCGGGGATCGCCCCCCACCCGCGGGGAAGCGGAGACACGGAAGAGGGGCGACCCAAGTCAGGGCGAAGTGGAGCTCGGGTTTGGGGGCGCCCCCGCGGACTTCTCGGGTCACATTCAGAGTAAAAACAGCGGCGGGAGTGTGCGCTCACTACCCGGACGTTCCCGCTGGTGGTGGGTGAGGGGCTCAAAGGAGGGGAAACGGCGGCCACGGGGTCACCGAGGCGCATCCCCAAGACACGCAGACCCTGGGCACGCAGGGCAGTTTCAAGTCGACCTCCCGCAGAGGGGGCGGCTCCGGCGGCTTCGGACCCGGCGAGGGGGGTGTGCGGCCGGGTCCTCGGGGCAGCCTGGGGCCGGGCCCCTACGGAGCGGGGAGCGGAGCCCGCGGGGGACTTCTGTCTTCGGTCTGCGCCTCCGGGGGGTGTGAAGATTGCGCAACAGGAAAAGTGTGTGTCGGACACTAGTAATAACGCCCAGTAACATGGTTGTGAGTTAAACACGCAGCAAATTGGCGGGGGTGTGGGGCGGGGGGTGCTGGGGGCGGCCCCGGTAACAGGCCAGCGCGGCAGATTTCGGGGACTGCCAGCGGTTTTCTTTAAAAAAAAAAAAAAAAAAGACAAAGTCGGAAGGGCAGAGTTTGAGTGAGGTCGTCCTGAGGATTGAACGCATTTTACATGAAAATCAATCAGTAAACCGGGGTCAGTTTGGAGCCGGGCCGGGAGGCCGGCTGCGCAGGCGCACTCCGCCCACACGCACACGCACACCGCCCGCAGCCTCAGCCCCGCGCCGCCCCGGCTCCGGCTCCCGGGGGGCAGGCCGGGCTGTGGCGGCTCCCCAGGGGCCGCCGGCGGGGGAGGGCGGGATGGGGAGGCCGCGGGCCTGTCCCCCGGCGCCCCGGGCCGCGCCAGGCCCCAGCGGCGCCCCGCTCCCCACGCGCCCTCCCCGGGCGCCCCCGGCCCCCGCCTGCGGGACGCCCTGCACCGAGCCGGCCGGCCGGGCGCAGGCGGAGGCTGGGGAGCCCAGGCCGGGGAGCCCTTCGCTGGGTCTTGTGCGGCGAATCCAGCCCCGCTCGGTGCAGCCTCCGCAAAGCCCAGCGGGGCCGCCGCGCCGCGCTTTGTGTGCGCGGAGGCCAAGTTGGTCCCAGCGCGCGAGCCCCCGCCACCTCCCGGTCTGCGCCGCCGCTCGGCGCCCGAAGCCCGAGCGCGCCGCCCGACCTCCCCAGCGCGGGGGAGGGGGGGGTCCCAACTTCAGAAGGGACCCCCCTCCCTCCAGTCCCCACACTGCCGTCTCCACACCCCCCCTGCTCCGGGAAAGGACCCCTCCTATCCACGCAGGGGAACCCTCCTCACACCCACACCTGCGCGCCGGGCGAGGCCGCCGCGCACACAGAAATGCGTCCCTCGCCGGCCCTGCGGCCCTGCCCCGCGGCCGCCTCCTGCCCCCGGAGCCCCCGGCCGCACCCGCGCCTGCGGGGCGAGCGCGTCCGTCTGCGCTTCCCCCCTCTCCGAGTTAATATTAACCAGGAGCCGCTGCGTTCCAGAGCTGCTCTGAAAGTTCCGCTGGGGACGGTCTGGCCATGGTTGAGGGACTTGGGCGGCAGTCACATCGGGGACACAGAGACGCACAGAGCCGCGGAGGGCCGGCCGCCCCGGGGAGGGGCACGCGCGCCCGAGCACGGAATCACACGCGGGGCGGCGGGCGAACGGGTCCCCGAGGACGGCTCGGCTCCTGCGGCCCGGGAGGCGTTCCCGCTTCACCCCTGCGGCCGCGGCCTCGCCACCCTGTTCCCCGACCCCGACGCAGCTCTCAGAAGGAGGGAGACGGAGGGAGACGGAAGGGCAGGGCAGGGGACCCCAAGGGCGCCTTCCAGCACTGCCCGGCAGCCCTCCGCGGCGTTCGGGGACCTGCGTGCAGTCCGCGCTGCGATCCCGGCCCAGCTCTCCGCACCCCGCCCCCACTTGGCTGCCCCTCCCCCGTCCTTTTGTGCTGGGAACGGGAATGGCCACTAGCCTAAGGAAAAAAGTATTTGTTTTCGTTCCGTTCATCGGAGGGAAGTTGACAGAAGGTCAGAAGTTCAAATGCTGCCAGCGCGCGCCGCGGCGAGAGTGGCCGGCGCGGGGCTCGGCCGGGGGTTCCCGGGCGGGCGGCCGGGGAGAGGGGCCGGGGGGCTCCGCCGGGACGCGTCGGAGCCCGCGCCGCGACCCCTCCGGGCCCGCCCGGCCCGGCCGTCGGAGCCCCGGCCGCGGCGACCGCGCATCCCGGAGGGACGGGCGCCGAGGCGCGGGCGCCAGGGTGCGCCGTTCCGCGCGCTCGGGGCTCTGCGACCCGCGGCGGGAGCTCCGGGGGCCCCTCTCCCGCGGCGGCCCCGCGCACACGCGGGCGCACGGCGACCCCGCCGGCTCGGGACCTCCGCGTCCCCGCCCCCGCCGCCTCCCCCGGCCTCGCCACCCTCTCCCGGGCTTCCGGGGGACTCCGAGAAGGCCCCCTGCCTCCCTCGGGGCGCGAGGTGACCGGGGTCTGAGGGCTCCCCGCAGCCGGCCGCGCCCCCGGCGCCCCGCGGCCTGCGCGGAGTTCATTGTGGCTCGCGCAGCTCCCGGGCACAGGCGCGCGCGTCCACACTCGCGGTCCAGATTTAAGGTGGTCGCGAGCAGATGCGAGAGCGAGGCTCCCTCCCGCCCCCTCCGTCCGCTCCAGCCGGCGGCCCCTCTCCTCTCCCGTCCGGCCTGGCCGCCCGAATCGGGCCAGGGAAGCGAGCGGCCCGGAGGGGCTCCCCCTGCGCGCCCTCGCCGCCCGCCCTCCCCCGTGCTTGCGCCCCGCCAGCGGTGGTGCGCTCCTAGCCCGAAAGGTAGGACTTGGAGATTTTAATAGGGCAATAAAAAGGATGTTGACCTATATTTGCCAGGAAATCCATTTCCAGCCTCGGTGATACGTGCGTGGAGTTTCAGAAAGTCTACGGTTGGCGGGGAGGTTGGCAGCCAGGAGTCCCAGCCAGAGGCTGGGTGGGAGGGCACTGCGTGTTTTCTTTGCTTTCCCGTTCTGCCCCCTCCCGCTAATATCTAGTCCCCAATTCCTGTGCCAGCAGGTTGACCGGAGTGATGCAATGCCAGGAAGTTCTAAGTCCCTCCCCTCAAGGACCGCGGGCTCGGGAGAATGGAAGCGCATCCTTAAAGAAATATCAATCCGTTCACACTGAGGGACACAAGTGTCCACGGTGAAATGGCAGCGGAGCCTGTGATACACGCAGGGACCAGGCGGCGCCTCTGGAGCCCTTGCCTTTTGTCAGCTCTGCCTCCTGCCTTTCCCCACGGAGGGTCTTGGGCCGGAGGGGCAGCGGGGTGGGGGTCGTGGGGACAGAGAAGCCCAGTGCAGAAGGGGACCCGGTAAGCACCCATGTCTCACGCTCAAGGCTGCATTTGTAGGGTGACCTGGCAGCCACTTGATGTTTATGGGGGGTGGATTTCTGCTCCCTCCCTCCCTTTCCATCCCGGACTTGGGAAGGGCAGATGCCCCCGGAGTGAAGGTCTCCCCAAGTTACAAGCCAGAGCTGAGGCAGGATGGGAAGGGCCATCCCAGCAGGATGGAGTGAATCAGGGCCACATCGGTGGACCACAGCTGCCGTCCTCACCGCCCACCCCCACCCCAAACTTCTGCAGCTGGACCCTTCACCTCCATTCCCCTCCAAGAAGAGGAAGGGATGGGAGCGAGGCAGGTGGGTGGGGAAGGCCATGGCGAAGTCGCCCTGCTATCCACCTCGAGAGCAAACAGACTCCGTCTGGAGCCGCTGGTTACACACAAGCCCCGTGAAAGCAGCACATTCCACGCCCCGGCGCTGGGTTTCTACCTGAGTCATCAGACGGTCGGCTCCTGTGTTTTCTTCATCTTTAAATATGATGTCGGGGTTGTAATTGGGGGTGAGTTCCTTAAACCGCTCTGAGTTTCTCGAGATCTTCCCTTCGTATCTTCCGCTGGCCCCTAGGGTCTTCTCGGCCACGTTGGGGATAAACTGCTTGTAGGCTAAAGGGGTCAGCTTTTTGGGGTGCCGCCTCTTCCCAAAGCCCCTGCCGGGTCCGCACGCCAGCCCCGGGCACAGCAGCAGTGCGGAGAAGAGCACCGCCAGCATGCCTCTCGCCAGCAGCATCTCGTCCCCGGAGCCCGGCGCCTTCCTGCCGTCCCCGTGCGGGTCTGTGTGCGCGAGCGAGCGGGTGCCTGTGCGCTCCGGCTTGCTGCTGGCTCCCTCGCTCGCTCGCTCGCTGCCTGCCTCTTTCTCTTCCTATATAACCTTGCCCGCCGCTGCTGCGGGAGCCTGGCCACGGATCCCCACCCAGACGGGGGCTGGAACGGCAGGCTGCTGGTCGCTGATAACGGAACACATCGGAGTTGGGGTTGGAGACAGCAATCAAAAGACAAAAAGAGTCTGATTTTAAATGGTAGCAAGCCTGGAGAGCTTGGGAGACAGGCTGCCCCCGGTGCTATATTATAGCTGGCAGGGGCGTATCTGATTGGCCACAGCAGCGCAAGCTTGTCTTCTGATGTTTAACCCTAAAAAAGACTAAATTTTTTTTTTCTGTTGCTGCCGTTGCTTTATTTTCACCTGAAGCCTTTGAGTTTAAAAAAAAAAAATCTTTCCTGAGACAAAGGTGGGCGGGAGGGAGGAGGCATGCTCCTCGGGATAACGCGGGTTATCCCCTGCTTTGTGTACGGCACCGCGTTCCCCCTTCCCTTTCTCCAGAATGGTAGGTGCTTCAGTTAAAACCAACTTAAGTTTTAAAGGACAGTCTGGACCCCCCCCCTCCACGCTTTGATCATCAAAAAGATATTCTCTCAAATGTTTGAGGGGCCAAGCGGCCCAGGTCCTATATTTAAATGTTGTTTTTGGAGACTTTATCATGCAGGCCAGGGCTCCCTCTGCATTTTCAACACAGAGGGTCTGAGCCTCCTGAATATTCAACATCCTCCGGGTAATGGTGATCCCCACTGACCACAACTTAAAGCATTGCGAGTCCAAGTGTCTTAAGCACCTTAGAAAAATATGAAAATACTGCTCTTTTATTGTGATTCAGTCGATGCATTATTTTTAACCCTCTGCAAGCGGGATGCAGGCACGCTCAGGGGCTGGGACAGAGTGACCTGAGGGGCCGTCCAGCGGCCAGGCCAGGCGTGTGCGGGTGCGGCACCCCAGCTTGGAGAAGGGAGCGGGTGCTGGGGCCTGCGTGGTGGGCGGAGGCCCATTGTGCCTGGGGGCAGTGGCGAGTGGGCAAGGCTGTGCACACACCACCCCCACGATCAATCGATCGGAGCAAAGTGCAGGCCAGGGATGAGCTGAATGTGGAATTCAGGCTCCTTCCCCATCGCACCGAGCTGGCTTTCCATGGGGATCCGCAGGCCAGCCATCAGGGGCCTGGGGGCTGCAGCGCAGGCAGGGGCCGGGGCCTGGGGGAACACCGTTTTGGTCAAGGAGGGTGCCACACTCAGAGCCGGTGACACTGAAGTCCCCGGTCCCTGCGCTCCCTTCAGAATAAAATAAATAACCCCCATAAAAGTCCTGTTTAGACCAGAAATATAAAATCTGAAATCCCCCATCTTGCAGAACGTACCCTCGCCTTCTTGTCCCCCCTCCCCCCATGTAGGGATTGTTCCAGAAGGCAGCGAGGGCGGGAAGGCTGTCCATGGAGAATGGAAATACTGGCCCCGGAGAGAGTCAGAGCTTGGAGTGTCCCTCTGTGAACAGTCTCCCTAGAGCCCCAGCCCAGCCCGGAGGTGAAGGCTCGGCCCTAAAACATCGGGGTGTTCCCAGTGGCCCAGGGGAGCCCCTGGTGGGGGCAGCGGGGCAGGGGAGCACCCCGGGAACCGGCCAGCAGGGCCTCTGAGAGGCTGAGCAATATGGGGGCTCGCAGCCAGTTGTGGCCTCCAGAGATGGGGGCCAGCTGCGCCCCTGCCTCTGTCGCATGATCTGTGAAGCATCACCGTCCTGGGGAGGCTGCCTGCCTCTGGGCCAGGCCAGAAAGCAGCACCCCGCTTCGTCCAGGCCACCGGGGGAGGGAGGGTCTCTGCTCAGCTGACGGGGCTGTCCGTGCGTCTGTGCTCACGGTGAAAACAGACAGAGCGGTCACACTGTCCTGTGCCTGGAGAGTTGGCCTGTCCCAGGGGGTGACCGTGCAGGGTGGATGTGACACTGCTGCATGGGGCCGGCCTTGCACCCCGAGGACACTCCGGCCTCTGGGCTCCCTTTCCCGCCTTGCCAGCTCCTTCCCTCTCCCCTCTCCCTGGCATACCGGGCACGGGAGAAAGGGCCGCAATGCCCAGCGCCCGAGGCCCGGACCCCCGTGTGCGGCCAGGGCCAGCCTGCTGGGGGACACCCAGGACGCATGATTCCTGCGGGCATAGGGCTCCCAGCTGCCGGTGCACTGCCTGCACCTTCGAGGCCAAAGCCTGAGCTGCAGGGAGCTGTCGGCGCCCTCTGGGCCCTGTGCTGCCCAGACCTGCTGGCCTCCTCACTCCGGGTCCCCTCCATCTCGCTGACGCCCCACAGAGCCTTCCAGGGCCAGGCGCCTGGGGACTGGCCATCCTCAGGAGTGAAACAAGGGTAGGCTGTAAAACGGCCACTGATGCCTTACTTCCCAGCGTTTGCCCCGTGCTGTGGGCTGAGGTGGGGGGAGTCTGGACAAACCTCAAGTGCAGGTTGTAATTGTTGCCACAGAAGCAAGGGCGCCAGCGAGCCCCCCATGTTCCCTTGCGTTCATCCCGCCCCCTCCCCGCTTCCCAGACACCAGACACGCTCGTCTTCCACCTCCAGACACCAGGTGGCTCCCTCCCTTTGGCTTTCCCCCTCCAGACAGTCAGGCCCCTCCCCAGGCGGGTCAGGGCTTCCAACCCCAGCCTCTGTCCAAGCCGGCCCTGCTGCCCAGGTGGCCTCAGGATCCACTTCTGGTTGGTCTGGGCTCTGCCCTTCCTTCTGGCGGGCATCTCAGCCCGCCCCCCGCCCCTCCACCCCTCCGCCCATCTTTCTGTCCCTCCTTCCTTCCCTCCCCCGCCCCTCCCCTTCCTCCCACCCCTCCATCCCTCACCAGCATCCCTGCTGAGGACAGGTGGCTGCCTGTCTTCTGCCCCCACCCCCAGGAGGCGCCTCCCGCCCGGCCCCCCGCCTCCCCACCGGCCCCCGCCGCTAGATGGCCTCCTCACTCTGCCTTCAGGCCCTGGCTCAGCCAGTTTGGGAAATCGTGCTGACTAGGTTGAGAGGCCCCTGGGAGGGGTCTGGCCAACTCGGCCCATCCCCCTCCTCACCCCCCCGGCAGTGTCCACGGCTCCCCCCCCCACACTGGTATCCACGAGGAGGCCCTCAGCGGGAGCTCTGACCTCGGCAGGAAGCGGCCACCTGCCCCCGGGCTCCCTCCCGGGCCCCCTCTCCGGGGTTAGATCTGTAACCTTACATTTCCTCTTCTCGAGTCCCTTCCCCTTTGATTTCTCTCCCGATAGGACTTCTGCGCAGTCTCTTTCCGTCCAATCTTACGGTTTCGATCGCTTGCTGATTGTGTTCCAGCGTCGGCAAAACCGAATTTCTTGTGCTCCGGCCAGGGCCTCCCCCTGAGCTGGAGGCTGCGGCCCGCGAGGCCTGCCCTAACCCCGTGGGCCTTGCCTGATCTGCACCCGGGGCCTCTGGGCCTCCAGCTTCCGGGCCCTGGACCAGAGTCCGCACGCCGATGAGCACAGGCTTCTCCTGCCTGTGGTGCGGCCGCCCGGCAAGGGCCCGGAACAGCGGCCGGCCTCCCTGCCTCTGCGTCCCCATCTGACTGCAGCCAGATGCACACCAGCGGTGGCGGGAGCAGCTGGGGAGGGGGCCGCCCGGCCGCGGGAGGCCTGCGCTGCCCGCCCGCACCAGGGCTGGCTCCGGGCCAGGCTCCCGCGCGGGCTGGCCTGGCAGCCACATTCCCCGGCACAGCAGAGCAGGCAGAGGGCACCAGACAGCGGGGCTGGGCAGACCGGGCCACCCAGCCCCGCGCTGCGCCCTGCGGGGAAGTGCCATCTCCCTGGCTTCCGCCCACGGCCCGCAAGCAGGGGCCGGGTGCCCTCCCTCCACCCACGATCCCGGCCCTCGTACGGGGCAGTTTTGCCCAGCAAGTTGTGGAGAGCCAGGCCACCCGAGGGGCATGCGCTCGGGTCCGGGATGGGGACCCTCCTGCTGGTCTTTCTCCATCACCGGAGCCCCTGGGAGGCGGTGGCCATGTCCCTCCCCCAGGGCCAGCATATCCCGCCGCCCGCTTACTCAAACAGCATGCACGGGCATCAGGGTCAGTGCAGAAAGACCACACGGCCGGCTGGCGAGGCCTGGGGCCACCCTCCGTCCAGCGAGCGTGTAACCGCGGGCACACTCAGCCGGGAACGCGCTGCCCTCTGAGTTGCTGTGATCGCCTCTCCCCAGGCCGTCCTCTGCTTTGAGCAGGGGGGCTCCTCCCTGGGTCTGACTGACGCCTTCGGCGTGTGGGCCCTTCCGGCTTCAGAGTGGTGTCCTGGCCACTACGGGGAGCCGCAGGCCACCTGTGTGAGGTGAGGGTCCCGCCCCTGCCCAGGCCTGGTGATTCTCGATCCCACTCTGGTGCGCCGCCCCCGCCCAGAGCCGTCCTGAGACCCCAGCGGGAGACGAGCACTCCTCAGATCCCTGCGCCTGGAGGACTTAGCGCAGCACCCTCGTTAGGACCATCGGCAGTGCCAGCAAGAGGCAAGGCCAACGCGCAGTGGCTGGCTGCACCCTGAACGGTCCCCTCAGCTTCTGCTTTGCTGACTTCCCTGATGGGGGTCCCGGCAGCTCCCGGACTGCATCCCGTCTGCCCCGGTGGGACCTTGCGAGAGGCTATGGAGCCTCGCGGGCGGGGGCTGGAGGGTGCCGTGTGTTTGCATCTCTGACTCTTTCTAGAGAGCGGATATGGGGGAGAGTGAGGGGTGAGTGTGTGATCATGGGAGTGTGAGCGTGCAGATGTGAATGTGTACACGAGTGTGTGCGCATGTGTGAGACTGAGCACATCCTTGTGAGTGCAGGTGTGAGAGACTACATGAGTGTGCATGTGTGTGTACACGTGGGTGTGTGTACACGTGGGGTGTGTGCACATGTAAGACTGCATGAGTGTGCACACGAGTGTGTGCATGTGTGAGAGGCCACATGAGTGTGTACATGTGTGCACGTGTGAAAGGCCACACAAGTGTGCATGTGAGCATGTGCACGTGTGAGAGGCCACATGAGTGTGCATGTGTGAATGTGTGCATGTGTGAGAGGCCACGTGAGTGTGGATGTGTGAGTGTGTGCATGTGGGAGGGTGCACGTGTGAGTGTGTGCATGTGTGGGAGGGTGTACATGAGAATTGTGCACGTGTGAGAGACCACGTGAGGGTGCACGTGTGAATGTGTGTACATGTGAGAGGCCACGTGAGTGTGGATGTGT